TTTATTACCCTTTTGAAATTTTTGACAATTTTTTTTGCCCTTTTGGCTCCGGACTCAATTATATACTCCCTTCGTTACAGCCAAAAATATATATTCTCAAACCATAAATTTAGTAGGCGTTAGGACATGCGATTTCATATCGTGATATGAAAATTATGAGATGAAATCAGTGTTTTGATATGCGATTTCATATTGATTTTATCTCATGATTTCATATCGTGATATGAAATCCCAGATTCTCTAAAAAGCATGATTTGGGACTTTTTCAAATAAGAAAATTTCCCCACGAGTTTATATTTTGTAAAACAACTTCACATTTATATCTATTCACCATTTATGTATTTCACATGTAAATAAAATTTATAAATTATTTATTTTCACCAACATAAAAAAATTTAGTACTTCAAATCATTTTCTACTTAACCATTTATATTTACCAATTTTTTTTATTTTTTATCAAATTTATTTATCAACCAAATTGAACAACAACAGGCTCAAATCAACAATGTTGGTTCGTCACTTTGTCCTCTCGGTCATATGATCGAGAAATACAAGTTCAACGTGAAAACATTGTACATACTATGTGGGATGATTATATAAAAGACTAGTACGCTACAACTTAATTATGTTTAATTTTATTGAATTAAAATTTGATCAATAAAATGTTGTACTTTTTAGAATAACTCTATGATAGTATATTATGTGATTTTATAAACCTTTACATATTTGATAAGATTGTATAAAGAATTGAGACAATTTTAATAGTTTCACAACTTATGGGGTTTTTATGTTTATCAGAAAGTATACAACATAAAAAATCTAAATTGCATATTCAAACAAAACTTTAATTTCATTTCATAATTTTATATCATGATTTCATATCGCATGGCTAAACGAGCCCTTAGTAAAAATTATGCCTCAAGCATAAGTTCAATAACATGTACAAATTATATTTTTTTCAGATAAGCTTAGTGGTATAAGTTATACTCAAGTTAAAAGAAATTTTGCCCAATTAATCAATTCAGTGACATAAATTATGTTTGAAAGCAAAAAAAGTTAATCTCCAGACATAAGTTAATTTCAAACATTAAATAACTTGGGAATAAATTAATATCTCAAATCAAACATAAAACAAAATTAATTTCAATTTTTTCTTTGAGATTATTTTTTTTATCCTATGTATCAAGCGTTTTCTAACTTGGAGTTCCATTAGACAATGTGTTACGCTAACGATGTTAGCATAATAATAATTAGATTCCTAGTTATCCTATAAATTTTAGGAAAAATTGCAGAAATTCCACCTTTTAGTTTACTTATTACCATAATACCCTATAAGTTTTACAAATCTCCAAAATCCCTCATTTTCGTGCATCAGATTAGTGTATCGCGCGCATCAGATTAGCGTATCTCGCGCATCAGATAGTGTATCATGTATAAATGTACATCCGATTAGTGTATCTCGCGCATCAGATAGTGTATCATGTATAAAATGTACATCAGATTAGTGTATCTCGCGCGTCAGATTAGTGTATCATGTATAAATATAATGTATCTTACTTAACGATTAATGTATCTAGCGCATCAAATTAATGTATCATCGCTTATATTATTGTATCCGTTTTGAGGGATTTCTGTAATAATAAACTTTTAAGGAAAAAATTGTAATTTTACCTTAAAAGTATGTGATTTCTGTAATTTGACTAAATTTTAATCAAAGCAGGCCGGCCGTATATATATATTGACATTGCTATAATCTTTAGTTGGTCCAAATTAATTAGTATTATTCAAGCTAGTTTTCCCCTTCTAAAATGCGTGAACAAGTCACTAACAGTCGTAGAAAGTAAAATTCTAGAGATCTTGTCATGTACCCTTACAATAATTAACATTATTTAAATTTTAATCACTTGCAAAAGAAGGGGAGGGAATTTGTATTTTTTTTAAAAAAAATTGAAAAGCAAAAAATACTCTTTGGTGGTAGTTTTTAGATTTCGAGAGTAAAAAAAAAATTTGACTGTTAATTTTTTCATACGTCTTTTAAATATTTTAAATTTTCAATTAATTATTATAACTATAATACTTTTTATGTAATTTTCAGATATGAAAATTTTATTTTTTAGAAAAATTAAAAGGTTCCATTTCCGAATTTACAGACTCTCAAAATTCGAACGGTAGAGAAAGAAAATAAAATTTTGAAGGTGGGGGCGGGGTGAACAAAAACGTCTAATTAGGTATTTTTATATTTGAACCGGATTCTTTTTTATTATACATGGAGTTGTAAGTCTTTGAAATATCTTTCACCTCAAAATGCATTAAGTTAATTAGCTAGCTTTTATTATTATTTTTTAATTAACTAAGGGAGACGTACAATATATTAGTGGGGATTAGAGACTTTGAGATTTGCATTATTCTGATCTTAGGTCAGCTAATTAATTGCTGACAAAACTATATTAAAATAGTACATATATCCATTTTGTTTGCTTTGCTTTGGTGCCTATCTCTTGTATATTATACTATAAATAATTTAAAAAACAAGATGGTGGTGGCTGCTATAATTAACAATATTGACAGGCAAACATGAATTAGGAACTTGTTATCTTCAACTTAATTACCCCCTGTTTGTATATATCTTCCTTAATTTAAGTTCTCTCTTAGCAATAGTGATTCAGCCATCATGTGAACTAATTAATCAGATTGGGATTTCTTTATTTCTTCTTTTATTCAACATATATAAATCTGGTCAAACTTATAATTAAGTAATTTTGTCATAGTCCCAATCTAATGTACCGTTTAAGTTGTACAAAGCATGTGGTTTTAGTTTTAGCTTAGACTTAATAATATGTTAGTCCAGGGCCGACTCAACAACATTGGGGGCCTAAAGCGAAATTTAAGAGAGGGGCCCTAAATTGTTTTTTCATCATATGTACTTTTATTTAAAATATACTTTTCTAGCTATTTCAGATGCAAAGTTATTAAGTATTGTTTTATAATCAATTTATTTTAATAATTCCTTTTCGAATGATAATATAGCTAATTCATTCAATCTATCTTGAGATATTGTTGATCTTAAAGAAAATTTAATCAATTTTAATTTCGAACGGAGAAAAATTTGGTTGAGGCAATGGTTATGAACTGTTAACACAATATGTGTATTTGGAAAAGAATCAAATCTTTTATTTGATTGAGTATTTTCATTACATCATTATCTTCTACTTGTATTGTTTATCTTTAACACTTTTACTTCAAAAAATAAATCTAAACCATCAATTCAGAATAACTAGTATGTGTTAAAGAAAGTTCAAGGTTAAGACAATATTTTTAAAAAAATTTCATCATCTAGTAATCTCAATATTTTACCACTAAATAAGAAATCAAAAATATTTTTATATGCTTCAATTGGTTCAAATCTATTTTAAAGTGAAAAAATAGTTTGATCTACTCTACATATACAATGTAATCAACTCTAAAGATTCTTCGAGGGACTTAGTGATTTCGTTATCCATATTTTCATCAAATTGTTTCTTACGAAAATTATATTTGTATTCATGTCATATGCAGTTTCTTTAGTAGAAATCATAGCACTTATAGTACATATAATTTATTTATTTTTAAAAATAATATATATAAGTAATTGTTTTTTAAAAATGGGGGCCCCAAGCGATGGCTTTAGTGGCCTAGGGGTTAAGACGGCCCTGTGTTAGTCATGTGGTCAAATACGGTGAATAGTAGGATCCGATCCTGAGCTAAGCCTTGAAAATCGTAATGCCATTATGCTTTTCAAATCCTCCTAGCTATTGTCCTCACGGTACGATTCCTTACTATCCTAACGTGAGGATATATATATAAATGTTGTCATTTAGAGCTCCCTTTATTCTATTTAGAAATTCACAATAATCAGAGGCGTATCTAGAGGGGGTTCTGTGGGTTCACGTGAACCCATGGTCTCCTCTCTAGATCATATATATAGTATTGTTATATTTTTTAAAAAATATTTAAATATAGAGGTATGAACACACATTAAAAGTAGCATATAATTATACGATGATGATTGAGTGTACCTTTCTAAGCAAACATATAAATTTAAATCTTATATTTATCTTACTTTTTTAGTTACACTCCTCCAAGTGGACACTTTTGGCGTTTCAATCATTTTTTCTTTTATTTTTTGCTTTAATCTTTCAAAATTTTCAAGTGTGTTATATTGGAAATTCCTAAACAAAATAGCAGTGTAATTTTTTTTATAATTAAATTAAATGTGGATATTAAAATTAAAACTAGTAGTATTATATTTATTGGACCTATAATTTTTAAAATTTAACGGTTCAATGTTAAGAACGTAAAGGTTAAATTGATTAAATTTATATCTTAGATGCATTTTTTCGTACTAGTGCACCCATCCTTCCGAAATCCTGAATACATTCACATGCAAGATATTTGATCCTGTTGTATTGCAATTTGTAGGAGGACAGAATAGAGGATGTGAATAATCCATTTTTCCGATATATGCATGTATATTTTTTCTATATATCAGGAAAATCATATGATTGTTCATATTGAATTAAAACAGAAGAAATGAGATCTTTGGCATGTCTTCTTACAATTTGAATTAAAAAAATTAATTTTTTCAGATTTTTAATGTGTAAAAATAAAGATGATCTTGCATTTCCTCTTATACAATTTGATTAGAAAAAAGTAATTTTTTGGATATCTTATATATAAAAATAATGATTATCTCAGGTAAAAAGGTCATAAAACTAAAAAAAAAAGTTTGTAAAGATATGGAAAACCATTTCTTCCACTTTTTTTGTCCCACAAAAGTACTCTATGTTTACTAATTTTTCATAACAGTCTAAAAATGAATTCAAATCATATAAATGGACAAAAAAGAAGGAACAGACAAGGAAAATGCCTCTCCATTTTGAAATGTACATCACATTCACCTCTCCCCAAAAAATAATAAAGATTTGTGTTTTGACTATGGAGCCAAAAGAAAAAGAAGAAGCTTTTGAATAAAGAGATATATAATTTATTTTTTTATCTTTTCTTTTATATTCATTTTTTTTTTTTACTTAAAAGTACCATGAATACAATAGTTAATAAATCTTTTTCTTAGTTCATGATATTTGGGCCTGGGCTGCAAATAAATGGGCCAAAGATTGGGCTTTTCTAACACAGGAAGACTTCAACACTTGAGCTTCTAATGGAGAGACAGAGTGGACATGCTTGTACCACAGCGTCACAATCTGTACACACACACAAATGCCGGCACGGCAAAAGCACCACCGATGCAGCTCGCTTCCGGCAAGCCTTGCAACTCGGCCCGGTTGACTCCACGACTCGATCCGGATCGATGTAGGCCGATTCAGCATCCTCAGCTTCGCCGGCGCCGGCGATGTCTCCGTCCGGGAGGTTCGCATTGCACCCTCCGCCGTTCATCATCGCCTGCTGCAGCTGTGCCTGTAGCGTTGCTGCGGTGAATTCCTCTGCCCTAGCCCTTGCCTGCCAGGCTTGCGCCTCTGCACTCAGCTGCGCTGCACGCGCCTCTAACTCGGCGTTGTGCCTAACCGCTTTTCCAACCTCGGCTTCCTTTTCCTTCAGCTGCCGTGCCATTGATTCCTTGGCGGTTCCAATCAGAGCACGATAGTGTGTTCGCCTTTTATCCTCTAATGTCCGTCTTAATTGTTCTCTCTGTTAATACCAAACAGAAGTATTATTCATTGCAATACAGCATAACAAATAAAAAAAAAAGCCCTAAAATTCGTGGTACCATTTATACCTGAACATGGAGGAATTGTTCTATTTCATCGCGGTGTTGTTTGATTATAGTAGATATGTCTTCTGTGAATATGGAATAGAAAGCTGATGATTGAGAAGATTGAGGAGAAAGAGAGTGTTGGTTTTGTTGTTGCTGCTTCTGATACTGTTGATGTAATTGGTGTTGCTGATGCTGTTGTTGTAACTGTTCTCCGGAAGCTAAACGGAGGCCGGTGGAGACAACATTTGGTTGCTGCGGATTTGTATGAAGCTGAGTGAGGTCAATCAGCTGCGGCTGAGATTGCATTGACGGATTCATTGCAGTGGTGGTGCTAACTTCTCTTCTTCTCTTACACGCATGATAAGAGCCAGCTGCCATAGCCAAAAACACAGTAATAAGGTTACTCCTCTGTTCCTAACCATTCAATTATTCAATCGCAGTATAAGAATAAGAATAGTTCGGATCGGTCAAAATTAATAATACATCCTCTGGTTTTACCTCCTGGATTGAATAGCATTTGTGTGTGATCAAGAATTGATCCTCCACCAGGTTGAGGTTGCAACGAATAATCATCGTTGCCAAGTGGGTTCTTTCGTTCTTGCACAGCTCTGCAATCAATGAAAAACCTTCATTAAGTTACTAGTAATGAGAAAAAGAAAAAGATAAATTTGAGAGGGAAGGGAGATGTGTACCTGTTAAAGAGGTGAGCGTTAGATGGGTATTGAGCTTGAACAGCCATTGAAGAATGATCAAAACAGAAAGATATGTATATATATATATATAGAAGGGATTTTGATTGGTAAAAGAGAGTGTTGAGAAAGGGAAGGCCTAATTAAGGCAAACACATAAACAGCATGAATGAGAAGAAGATGCCCCAAACTATGGAAATATCAACAAGTGAAGACAAGTATTCAAAGACAAGAAAGAAACTTTATTTGATTCTCGAGAGAGAAGAATGAATCTTTTTCTTTCTTCTTTTATGTTGGAGAAGAAGAAGCCAACCTTAACCCATTATGAAGAACACCAACATGACCATGCTACACCACACTAAGAAACTTTTTATGTTTTAGTAGTAGTTACCTTTGCTTCACCTAAATGCTTTTTATGGGAGAGAAAAGGAGATGCGATCAAAACGAATGAGTCCAAATGGGAGAGGGAGAGCCCCTCTTATTGTGGTTCCTTGTTTCCTTGCTCTTCTCTTGTTCTTTCGCGTGGGCTTTGTTTCTTTTGGCTTTTCTTTCAACACGGCAAGAGGGACTCTCGTGTTTCTCATCAATCTCCTCCTTTTTCTAATCCTAATATTACACTTGTCTTTTTTAACTTTCACTTTTTTTTCAAGGTAAAACGCTTTTCATCTTTTCCTTCCAATATTTATGGTATTTTTGTATCATCCATATACTACCGTACTAGTATTAGTTACATGTACTATTGTTTTATAACAATGGACACACATCCTTATAATAGTACATTAAAAAAAATTAGAATTCTAAGTAAGTAGATACGATATAGGTATAATCAATCAACATTTATATCTCTAACTTTGGATCTATACAAATAAATATTTAAATTTGTGTAAAATTGAACAAAAAGACACATGTCTAACGTGACATAAATACATCACACAAGATGTGAATTGTTACATAGAATGCATGTGTCTATTAATTTAACTTTATTCAAGTTAAATATTTACTTGTATACGGATATAAATATCGGTTGAAGTCAAGTTAAAAGACACGTTTATGTATTGTAAGGTGATGTGCGGTGCATTGTTGTGCGTGGAGAAGGTTAGGCGCTGCCGCAGGGATTGTTGTGTATGGAGCATGGCCCATGCATCCTCGCCACCTCTCTAGTTTTAAATAACAAAAAATAAAAAAATAAAAAAAAATCAATTGAGGTCATTATTACCTCTACTACGATCTCAATTAATTCGAATTCATATCAAGACCCGCTCAAGAAGGAAGCACTTTTTATATTTTAAAAAGATTGTTTTTTTATTTGAACTCGAAACTTCTGATGAAAAGGAACTTTTTTTATTTCTAATCCTCTCCTCCTACTAAAATAATCGTAAAAAGGAACCAAGCCTTCAATTTTAGGTTAAGTATATAAAATAAATTGTCTACAATTATATTGGTATATGGACCATTATTTAAAACGAAAAGAGGAGTTGTCCCTTTACATAGAGAAAGGGGATTGGTTTCACTTCCATTAGTAATAAATTTCGATGTGTGTGACGGAGGATCCATGGCTTAAAGCAAGATGCCTCTCTCTATAGATATCTAGTTGTGAAGGCTATGTCACCCTCAACATCATCATACAAAGTTTTGTTCCATTTTCCTCTTTCGTTTCTAGTCGTTATTTGCCAAAGTGGGTCCATAAAATATTATGATTCTTATATTTGGAACTATGCTATTCGAGTTAAATGACCTCCATTACTAATTATAGATTTCTTTTGCCTATTTCTTATCATTGAGATTTGATGGATGAGATTCATCTATTTCGTATAACATAAAGTGATACATACATAAGTTAAACATTTCAAATTCAAAAACAAAAAAATATATTCCTATAAAATAAAATAATAAATCAAGACTATTTTATCGAGATTTTTCTTTGAGAGTTATTTTACACTTCCTTATTATCATTTTTCTATTGAAGTAATTATTTATTACCGAGTTGTTGAAAATTAATTTTCTTTTTATTTGGAGCGTCACCTTAAAAATGAATTCTAGAATATGCAAATTAGATTTTAGTCAAATTTTAATATAGATACTAAACCATGAGTGAAAAATTAAAAAAAGTACATATTTGTTTAGTTTAACTCCTTATCTAAGCTTCCCCCGGTTGAAAGAATTGAAAAACTCAAAATTTGCTCTAAGGAAACTATTACTTGGTTTTCAAGTTCTTATTTTTATTTTTTTGGGGTCTTCAAGATTCAAGTACTAGTGGTTAAAATTGGTCAAAATTTTTATAGTTTGACTTTAAAACAAAACTTGACAAGTAAAAGTGAACGCAATAAGTATTTATTTCTTGTCAAAATTCTAGATTAAAAAAAGAAGATAAATGAGATACATTTGCTACTGAAAGAATAAAAAGGTAAATAATTTTAACTAAAAAAGTAAAAATAAAAATAAAAATTAATGGAAGCAAAGGATTTTGATAGTTGGAACTTTGAATTCATTAGTATAAAAAATTGTTTAGTACTATTATACTATATATAGACCTACACAATTTCAAAATTTTAGAAATAACAAACATAATAGACAAAATAAGGCTCTATAAGCTACAATTATAGTTTTGCTAATTGCGTTTCATAACTATAATTTTGTTTGCTATGGAGGTTGCCGTTTGTATATTTATGTCCGTTTGTATATTTCACTTGGGATGAAACAAATAGGGTAAGTATATATACAATTTTTGTAGTTATACATTTAAGAATTTTTCAGAACTCTATTTGTATATTTCGCTTGCCAATATACAAACAAGGTAATTTATTATGATTTTTTCATAAATCGTATACAAATAGCTAGGGTAAGCATATACAAAATTCTAAATTTATACAATCACGAATCGAATTATACAAATTCTGGATTTATACAAATCAGAGGAAAAGAATTGGAGAAACTGTAGCCACGAATTACAATTTTCTTAAACGATAGCTATAGTACCTAAATAGGCTAAATGTTTACTATTATGCATAATTTTCCATTAAAATAAATAGAGAATTGTAAAGAGTTTGAGAAAAGATTTAAAAGGTGTTTGGATTGGATTAAAAGTTGGTCAAACCTACTTTTAAGTCAGTTTTTGATTTTTGAAAGGTTTATCAAATATAAAAAGGGAAGTGCTAAATGGTTAGAAAATTTGGCTAGAAAATTAAAAAAACTGTAATATTTATTTTATTTTAAAATAAACAGATTTTTTTTTCATTTTTTAGTTAAAATGTATTAAAGTCAAAAGGGTAAAAATGATTAAAAAGATAAAATAACATATATAAAATATCATTCTGGCCAAATTTTCTAGCCAAAAAGATTTTTCCTAGTATATAATTCTAAATATTTATTCTTCATTTTACTTCATAATTCCCTTCTACTTTTTACAAATACATCTATTTTATTTATAAATCTTTATATTTGTATGTTTACTTTTTTTTTTTACATTATTTTTGTGTTTTTGATTATATTTTTTTATATTTAAATGCAGGTGAAGAAGTAATTGAAAAATTTAATATCAATGATCTTAGTCCTGGCAAGTGTTTAGGGATCCAACACAACCAGGATGGTGTTGTCTGACAACTTCAATTTGTTTTGAGCAACGAAATGTTTGTTTAGATAATTGTCCCCATTGGCCTCCTCTTATTTAATTAGTTAATTAAGAAATCCTCTTTTAAGAGTTTTGTTAAACATCTATATTATGCACCATATATGATATTATTACAATAGTATTTCATTTTATCAATGTTTGTTACAATGCGGCAAGTCGTTATATTTTGCTAGCTCTCAATTTTGAATAATTTCATATGAATTTCTAGTTGATAAAAGTTCTATGGAAAGAGTTACCATTTTCTTTTCTTTTTTTCTTCCGTTCGTAATAAATCATAACGTGTGCCCTAATAATCTTTTTAAAATGCATACTTATGCCTTGTATAACAATAATTAACTCTACTTAATCTCTTTCATTTGCAACAATTAGTTGACCAAAGTATCGTAAAATTCTTGTTGATCGATATTTTATTATAATGTTATTTATCATAATAAAATTTATCGCGTATAATAATTCTCAAGATCTTATTTCACGAAAACATATGTTTAAACATATCACGCTTATCCATTTGTGGATGTTCAAGCATCAATTATGTTTGATTCAAACCCTGCATATATTTATATATGAAATCAGTAATAAAATAGAAAAAATAAATAAATAACCTAAGCATCTTTATTGCAGCAAAAAATATATGTGTCAATCAAAGTTTTGGATACCGTTATGACTTCATCCAAAATTAGAGGGGTTCGTTGTCTCATTTCAAAGGTGAGGGATAACGTTTGTCAAACCTACAAGTTTAGGGGAGTGAAGTGGAATTTACTAAAAAAAGAGAGGGAATGAATGATTAGTTAAATTTGAAATCCCGCTATATATACAAGAAAATGACAAAAATGATCTCGTATGTTTGAGGATAGATTTTGTGAACCACCGAGTCTTAGTTGTGCTCGAAGTCATTAGGTCGAGGACATGTCTGTCGAGGCATCATGCTTAAGTTTTTTTTTTAACACAATATTTGAGGATATAATTAAAATAGTTTCATAAAAAAGTATTTAGCAATTTTGTTCTTTAAATTTGTCAAAAATTTAGTTTTTAACCTCCAACAAATATTTATCAGACTCTACCTCCTACTATTTCTGCACCCTATTTAACTCACCCTCAAGTCATCATACAGAGTTTTGCTCCATTTCCTCTTTCGTTTCTAGTCGTTATTTTGCCAAAGTGGGTCCATAAAATATTATGATTTTTATATTTGAATTTTTGCTATTCGAGCTAATAAGATCCATTACAAATTATAGATTTCGTTAGCCTATTTTCTTATCATTGAGATCGGATGGATGAAATTCCTCCATTTCGTATGATATAGTGATACATACGTAAGTTTGAAATTTCAAGTTCACAAACAAAAGTATATTCCTATAAAATACAATAATAAATCAAGACTATTTTGTTGATTTGTTTTTTGAGAGTTATTTTACCCCTCATTGTTCTCATTCTTCTATTGAAGTAATTATTTATTACCAAACCCTTGAAAATGAATTCTCTTTTTATTTGAAGTGTCACCTTAAAAATGAATCCTTCACTATGCAAAATTCAAGATTCAAGTACTAGAAGTTGTTATTTTATAAATAATGCATAAATTACAATTTGCTCTAGGGAAACTTATGTTATTTACTTGAGAAAATGACATAAATAGTCCCTTAACTATAGGAGTTGGTCTAAAATAGTCCCTTAACTATACACTTAACGGATTTAGTTCTTTAACTATTCAAAAACTTATCAGCTTTGGTCCCTTAACTATACGCTTAATGGCTTTAGTCTCTTAACTATAAACTTACCGAATTTAATCCTTTAAGTATTCAAAAACTTATCAGGTTTGGTCTTTGTTCATTTTTAATACAAATAGTTTAGGTTTATATTAAGGGAATCCATGCCTCGAGAAATTAAATTCTTTAGCAATTTTTTCTGTTGTTTCTCTCTCTCCGCTATTTTTTCTTCAAATTAACCTTATGCAAAGAACCTTAACCTCAACGAATTAAAATAAAATTCAC